AGAAGATAAGACAAGCTGAGTGAGACACGATGCCTCGTGTCCCTTGCTGGTATCAGCATCATTGCATGGAGCGTAATTGCAAGACAGGATCGTTTGCCTTAACTGGCCGCCCCTCCTACAAGCATGTTGCTCTGTTGAGTGATTCTTCCTGTGTCATGCGGACTTGATGTGGCTGTCAGAAGTAGCTCTCTGAAGGAGGCGTGCTGGAGCAACAGGGAGGAAGAAGAGTAGGATGGGATTTCTACTGTTTGCAACTATATGAAGGTCTCGAAACTTGTAGTCCCTATAGCTGTGAAGAACCCCAATATACGTCTCTCATGGTGACTGACGTAGGGCCAATTACAGATCAGCTGGGACAACCGAATTCCACGGTCCTGTGCACAGTTCAAGAAGTAACGGCTTTCTGGTTGACCAAGGGTTGTTGTGCGTTAACGACGGAGAAGCGACGGAGGCAGTTGTGTTGAAGAAATGTGGTACAGGATTATCTACAAGACCAAGCAGTGACGTCGCCCAGCCAGAGACAATGGACGTCTGTCTACATATTTCATTTTTTAGAGTAGGATGATGTATATTTGTTTAGCTAGGATGTATTCTTTTCGTTAATAAAGTTGTCGCACACAGCTAGCTTGCTTTAGCAGTGTTGCAAAAACTTTATTTTCGGGGAGAAGGGGAGATGTAACACTGTAAAAGTGTTTGGGTTAGTTTATTTAAAATATATATAGAGTACACGAGTCACAGACAAGGATCTGAGAGGCGCCAGTTGTCTGCCTGAGATCTCACACCTCTAACCGTTAATGACCCCAAGTGACCTGAGGTCAGATCATGATAATTTCACCTTGCTTCCGCTAAGCGTATAATTGGAGCCGGGTAGCCTTCAAACATGCCGACGTTTAAGGAGTGGCTTGGTAGTGCCGGAGGCTATCTACTTGTGGGCGGAGTTAGCTACTAGGTTCCCCAATATAAACTCTGAGAGCTATCGAGCATCAAGCAATAGGAGACCGGCCAGCGGAGCAGAGCAGAGGCCAGCCGTCGAGATAGGCCGTCACCAGACGGGGGGTGACGCTGCCTGAAAATTGCAGACCCCCCCCCCCCCTCTCTATTCAACTTAGACTCAGTCCTCGGTGAGTGAACATTTAGGTGACTTGGTCGTGTTTACATATGTTGTGTGATGATCAGGGGCAGTCAAGTTGTAGGGTTCTCAAATTCTTGGATGATGACTCACTTTGAATATTAATCGTTAACATTTTTAATTGAATTGCTATATTATGATACTTATCATGAAAAATATAATTGTTGAATTTATTATTTAAATGGTCTTTCACTGTGTTCCCTAGAGAATTGAGTTGAGGTGAGAAAGCCTCGGTGATTACTGGTTTCATGATTTAATGAGTACATGTTTGGAGTTGATACATGGTACAGAGGGAACATACTAATAATGAACTCATGATAACATCCTTTGAGAATTTTGTGATACAGGCAAGTTCCATTCCTTGTCTTGTATGTAATGATCATGAATGGATGGTGGCAGCATTTCTACTTCTACTATCTACTCTTCTACTTCTACCTATCTACACCTCTCCCTCCACCCTTCTCTAAACTCTCACTTTCAACTAATGACCATCCTCGCCCCTCCCACCTCTCTGCCTCTCACCCCAAACCCTCACTAATTACTTCACTATTCATTTCTTTCCTTTCGTTTTCTCTTATACGTTTGTGGCAATGATTCTGTATTCTAGAGTTCTCTCTAGAGTTTCGGGTAACTGATCAAGTTACGGCGCCTTGTAGTCTTAGCACCTAGGTAGTAAAATACCTAGGTTACAAGGTGTTGAACGAGAGAGGTTGCCTTAGGAACTCTGGAGGTGCTCTAGAATAGTTAGCTAACTGGAGACGGGATAACGGACTAGAGAGAGCTGTTTCCCCCGGCTTCGTTAGTTAACTGGGGGGTGGAATAATGGACAAGATAGAGCTATTTCCACACCCCCCGTTACACTATGAGGAACATTTCATGAATATAAGGACACAAAATTCCAACCCATTCTCATCAGTAAAGGCCGCCAAACCCCCTGATTATGCAACCCGTTCTCGCACTTTCTTACAGTCAATATTGACTTATTAAATACGTGCATATGTGACATACTAAACATATTAGTTTACCTTGAAAAGCTTCATAGAAAACACCGACCTTACCTAACCTTCTTAGTATGTTAAGATAAGCCTCTTATTGCTTCGTAATTACAATTATTACTTAACCTATACCGGGATTATGAATGAGAAACAATTTACACGCGATTCAAGGCTGATGACATATGTACTTTCCTCACACAGTGCTTCGTTCACGTCTTAGCCCGTCCCCCTAAGGCGTCCCAACGTCAAGAAACTGTCGTAGTAAAGTATCCCTATCCTAACCTACCAGTGGACCCAAAACAGAAAACGGGAAATGTATGTCAATTTCGCTAGCCGCTACCATTTTCTAATACAACGCTTTTTGGCCTTAGGTGAAGTGTACGTCAAACTGCGACGTGGTTGCACGTCTTTCCCCTTAATCGCACCTCTCTAAACGTTTCATCCACGTATTGTTATTATTAATAATTGCCAACATGACCTAACCGCATAACCTAAGTTAGGCCTAACTATTCAACACATTCTAGTATGTAATTGTATTGACATATTTGAGAATATCAACATTTAGAATACACATTAGGTCAAAATTGCTGAATGCGCCTTTGAGGTCGACCGGTGGTTGGACGAACCTAGCCTGAGGACAGGTTGTCATGCAGGCGATGAGTCACAATAACGTGGCTAAATTATGTTGACCAGACCACACACTAGAAGGTGAAGGGACGACGACGTTTCGGTCCGCCTTGGACCATTCTCAAGTAGACACAATCGATTTGAGAATGGTCCAAGACGGACCGAAACGTCGTCGTCCCTTCACCTTCTAGTGTGTGGTCTGGTCAACAGGTTGTCATATTACCAAAGAAGTGAACATTAGAAGAGTGTATGTAATCTGCCACACCAACACGTCAACATCATCCAACACACACACACAAAGTTCAGGATTATAATCCCACTTTTCTATGGCAGTACTTCTAGGAATATAAGATGAGCTACATAATCTCTCGCATCTGACTCCACCCAATCTTCGTATCACCTTTTAATTATTATGAACATCTTTCGTAAAGTCTAATTTCAACTTGATGTGTCCTTGCATCGTTGTTATCCATTTTTGTTTCTTTCAAACGTACACTTGGACACGTTTCCTAAAATATGGGGACCAAAGAGCAGGTCATGTGAGGATGGTGAGGTATTGTAACGTGGCTGAAGATTACAATGTTTAGACCAATATTATACCACCACTACACGACTTGCTAATGGTGGAGCCTGGCCCTAGGCTCTAGGCCGGGCTCGGCGAGTAGAACTCGTGAAACCCTCTCGAGGTATGTTCCAGGCCCAGGATGGACCGAAGCGTTAATTCTTCTTTTTTTCAGATTTGTGGGTTGGGTGTGTAGTGTAGTAGGTGATGTTGTAGATTATGGTGATTTTCTGGCTGCCTCCTTCACTGTATGGCATAGGTCACTATTGCTCCCAAACATTTGTATTCATTTATTTCTATTGCCTGTTGTTGTTTCTGAAAGGCCTATGTACTATTTAGTATTTAGAAACACCAAACTCATTTACTACTTATTAGTCATGTTTGCTAGGATATCTAAGTTAGCTTGCACTCTCTGACACGTTAGTGCTGTTATGTTTTGGTTTTCAAATGAACTTAACGCCTATTAACCGCGGAAGAGCCATTAGGCTATCACAATATCTTACTGACTATCCAGCAAGACATACTTAAGTCCTGAGCATAGTCCAGGACTATAGTCAATTATCAGTGTATATATACATTCCTGTATACACTATAAATCAGCTCGCATACTATATTTTCACAATATTAAATAATAACAAAATATGAGTCCATAATTTGCACGAGCGTCTCAGTTACAGCCTATGCAGCATATTTTAGCAGATTGGTTGTAAAGGCAGTTTTCTGACTGCACAAGGTTGTTATATTATCTGAGGCTACCCAGTACCCAGATAACAGTGTCCCTTGGGGGTCTTCATTGAAATAGCACAGTGTCCCATGGTCCGCCCTGCCAGGAATAGATTATATACAACCAGAGGTATTCTTCACTTCTCGGTACAACACTGATAGATGACTTTAGTCATAAATTTTGCTTAGGACAAATTAATACTAGTTGGTTAGTATGCTGTTGTGGTGGCCTAAATAATACTCAAATACACAATGGGATTATGGGGATTTATTTTGGACCAGTCATTGACGATAGAACGTACAACGATAATGCTTTTTTTTATTATTTTCTACCACAAACGTGGTTACACATTTACAATGCTAACCAGCGTATATACATTTTCTTCTGTCCTCCATGAACGGGGTTAGAGATCTGTTAAACATATAATTCCGTGATTTTTTGAACAATCAACCACAGCAGGTGATTGTAGTGATTTTAAAATGCTAAGCTAACCTACAAACATAAATACACAGATTTACGGCTGTGTATTATACACAGCGTCATTAATGTGCGTTTAAAAGGTGAAATGCAATTCTGACCAGCTTCCAAATGCCCTGTATACAAATACACACACATATACATATATACCTACACATATCCACATATATATATATATACATACGCCTATGTCTCTCCTACTTTGACAGGGTAAGATAGCTTTTGTAGAAACTAGTGTGATATTAAACACTTAACCACTGAAGGTGATTAAGATGCTTTTAGAAGCTCAGGTTATAGGCATATACATCATTGAATAGCAGATGTATTAGATGTTAAGGGTTAAAGCCTAGCTCACAGCAACAGCTCGTTGGAAAAGTGTTAAATTCTAGACCTTTTTCAATCATTTTTAAGACAAACTTTGAAGTTTCGTAAATGTGAATTCAAATGGAGCGAAACACATTTCAACAATGTGTATTATTCTTTCAGCCGCAGCAAGCAGCCGTGCGTGGTGAAGTGACCTGTGGAGGTGTGGTCAGGGCCAGCCTTCCTCGAGGCCCGCCAGCCTGGTATCTGGCCACCTAGGGTACGTAGGCTCCATTACCACACCCTGCCATAGTGTGGTCATACACGGCGTGCCCGGTCAGTAGCATCGAAAACCTGTACCGGAATATCATCTTCATCAATCAGTCACTACAGTCCCACATCAGTTACAGCCCCGCTCCTGCACACCGCTTCCCACTGGATGGGGGGCGGTGTGCAGAACAAACATGTGTGGAGAGCTAGTGTCACAATTGACATGTCAGTTCCTTAATTTTTGAAACTGTACTTGTGGTCGATCTCGAGCCCATTGTTGATGTGAAGATATGCATTGCATTTTGTAACTAGTTCATCTAGATTGTAACTTGCTTAGTTGAATAAATTGTGGGGTTCAGTCCCTGAGCCCATTATGTGCCTCTGTAACCCTTTCCCCTACCGCCCACAAGATGGGTATGGGGTGCATAATAAACGAACTGAACTAACTGCTCTACCTGTTGTACAGGTTAAAATACCTTCAAGCTTTTCTCAGATTAAGGAGCAAATCAAGAAGAAAATACTTCTTGCAAATCAAGAAGCATGGTCGTCCGTCAGGGACGCCTCGACCACCTCTACGACTACGACACCTTGAAGGAAATTCGACCAAATTACCAACATTGTGGAACTGGGATTAGGACACCCTCTTGTAACTTGTAACACCCGGACATCTCCCCCCTAGACCGGTCAACCGGTCAGCCCGCCGACAGCCCTGCTGATTCCTGTGGCACTCAGCCGTGAGGAACCTGTACCCCATCACTTCACCGGTCTGACCTGCCCTGTGGTCTTGGATTTGCGCGTCCATGGACCCCATCCCCACTTCTCCAGCATCAGCTGTTGATACTGATAATATCTCCAAAGAGCCTCCACTTACGGGCTCACCATAGCCCGTGCTACAAGGAAATTTTGTTCCAGTAGCTGAATCTAAAACAACAATAACAACGTTCAGTCCCAGACAGTGACAATTACAACCCCGCTCCTGTGCCAGGTTTTTACACTACGGGCTCACCAGAGTCCGTGCTGCTTGGAACTTTTTGTTCCGAGAAGCTGAATCTAAAACAACATATAGTCCCATCTTAAGGGCTATTCATGCCCATGCCACCTCTTGGGTGGCAAAATATTCATCAATCAATCTACAGTCCCACTTGAGAATGAACAATTTAGGTCCGAAACGTTGCATAAATTTATAATAAGTGTAATACATTTTACAGTTAATTATTCTTTTAGTTTACCTAGAACAAAGATGACATTTGGAGAAATCCTCTTCCAATTAAACCAAGATGCAAGAGCACTAGACAGAGGGATAGAAGCCCTAAACAAGAAAATAATCAACACAGAATATGCTGTCATATTCAGTGAAACATGTCTAAATGAAAACCTGCTGCCAGTATACAATACATACATACATACATACATACATACCTTGAGGTTACCTTACCTTACCTGAGGTCATACACATAACAAAGCAGAGTTCAACCCCCACTAATCAACACTTAAGACTGTAATCAAACTTAATCAGCAATTTAAAGAACAACTCTATAAATTACACAGCTTATCTGTTTATAAACGTCGCCTGTGACAACACGCCATAAAGGAAATGGTCTGCTATACCAACCATCACAGAAGCCTCGCCCGGCCACGCACCACAAGCTACTATTGCTTATCCCGCATAGGCACAAAATTTGCCTTTTTTACACGTACACACGCCCAACATGCCCGTAAAGCATATAGGTTTCCAAATATTATTGCACGTGCCACTCAACACCTTGGCAAATATCACGATTATTCAATTGTTGGCATATCAGCCAACCTTTCCTCCTACAAAGAACGTCGCTTTTCGCTCGTATGCGTTACACAAGGCCAAAAATTGCCGTACTAGAAAATGAAAGCGGTTTGCGAGTGACCTACTGTCCCGTTTTATGTTTTGGGTCCTCTGGTAGGTTAGGAGAGGGCATTTTAAATTGACCGTTTTCTTAAAGTTAGGAAGCGTCAAAAATCGCTTCTCGGCCTGTTGGCTAAGATGAAAGTAAAGACGTTGGGAAAGCTTAGGAGAACGGGCTGTACCAGCTGCTATCACGCAGAAATTATTGTTTATAAAGAGCAACAGGTCATAAGACTGGCCATCAACTGTGCGCTTGAGAATCTAACATTAGCAACAATTTAGACAATGATCACATAAGGTTTAGTGTTAAAATTTAAAGCAATTAAGGAGACAAGGTAAAGTTTAATAAAGAACTCCAAAGGCAATGGGTAAATTACCGGTCAAAGGGCAACACCCTGACGATAAATTACAGTTCATGCGAAAATATCCCGCTAGCTTTTTTAAGCTGTGTTCAGTCTATTATTTGTATAACAGAACTTCATTGATGAGGTTAAAAAGGAAGTGGACCAAATAGTTCCTATATGTAATATCATTTCAGGAGGGTGGTTGTTATAATAACATACCAGGGGCCAGATTCACGAAGCCGTTACACAAGTACTTACGAACGTGTACATCTTTCCTCAATCTTTGACGGCTTTGATTACATTTATTAAACAGTTGACAAGCATAAAAACTTCCCAATCAATTGTTGTTGTTGTTATAAACAGCCTCCTGGTGCTTCGGAGCTCATTAACTGTTTAATAATTGTAAACAAAGCCGCCAAAGATTGAGAAAAGATGTACAGGTTCGTAAGTGCTTGCGTAACTGCTTCGTGAATCTGGCCCCAGGTCACTAGGTCACTGACGTGAGTGACCAAGTCATCGCCTGCACATCCAACCGACCTTTGCTCAACGGGGTGAGAATAGCTTGAGCTACCTCATCCCTTTGTGTGTATTTATATCTCAATAAACTTATTTCAATTCATTTTCAATTTCAACTTTTTGTGGGAACCGACCTGTGAGATTTATATTTATTTAATTTATATGAATTTATATTTACGTTAATTTATATACTTCGATAGCAATTTGTATAATGATAAGTGGACTGTATTTCTGCAATAATCTCTTAATCTCACAAATCGATCCTCTACACATTAGGGGGGGTTATTAATTAATATATATGCAGCCAATCAAACTACAGTAATAGACTACATACTATTAAACATTGAAGAGGTTCCTTATCTTATAGTACAGCAGGTTAGTCCACCAGGTATAACTAGGGTGTAGACACCAAATTATCCTCTTTGAGGTAGCTTCCATATCACCCAGTAACTGGTGCACAATCTTGCATCCTCGTCTTGACCTGTCAAAAGTGCGCTAGCTGTGAAGCCAGAATCCTATATATGACAAGTATATCAGAGAAAACACTATACAGTACATGGAACATTAAGACCTGGCTTAATTACCTTTAGTATGAGGCGATTTCGCGTTCTAACCGGCTAACCCTATATCCTGACATTAATGGCCATAAATGAATGATAAACGGGTTTCGGATAGACACTTAACTTGTATTTGTAGACAGCGTGTTGACAATGGTACACCTTTGGGTTCCATAACACTACGTCCAAGTAAATTTAACAGGAGCCGAATTTGCTCCCGTGTGAGCCTCTGGTCTCGTATAACAACAATGGCTGCCCTCCTTCCTCCACTCTCACGCCTGGCTTACATTGTCCAGATTTCAGAACGTGATAGAAGGGTCACATTTACTCTACTTTAATATTGATAATTAAGTTAATTTATATAAGATGTTTTTATGATGGTAAAGTCCAAAGACTTATGTATTTAAGAACAATTCCCAGCAGAATAGCTGGTGAATTATAATAGTATGTGGTGATGATATCCCGTTTTCTATAGACGGTAATTCCACTACAAGTTACGTTTTCTATGGGTAACTTGTTGGTAATACAGCTATTATCTGTATGATTATTAAATGGTGTCGGATTTTCCGACATAATTCCCCAGGGGGCTGCTCACGGGTCGAAGTCCTAATTAGAACAGACGAACACCGATACTCCTCCTTCGAATTATTACATTAATTTGATGTTAGTAGTTAGTAATCACACATTTGTGCGTCTGTTCGTACAGGACGGATGTCCCGTACTAGAGTTGCAGGGGTTAGAAGTCTAATGCGATTTCATTTCCCTGTCAACTCTTGAAAGGCTAATATTCAAGCCTTATTACATATTATTTAACCCAGAAGACTGGATGTGATCAAGTACTACAGTCAAGTATGATTCAGGGACTGCAGTGAGATCAGTGACATTAGATATAACTTGAAGTTTGTTCAGGTAACTGGTCACTGATATATAAACACTGAGGCCCATGGAATACATCTTGATTAAATAATAAATGTATCAAATCAGTCATCAGATTTATTGGGGTTTAATTTAGTTAATTGATTCAGAAGATTGAATAGCTCATCATTAAAGTAAAGTATGGTTCTGAGACTGCAGTGGGTTCAGTGACATTGGTCGCAGTGACTTGTAGCTGTTTTAGGCTACTGTTCACTGATTTGCCACTGAGGCCTCATGAACTCATCTCCAGCTTTAAATGATGATACTAACATCAACCTCTGTTACTATAGTCAGCTGTAATCTCCTTAGTATAATGCTACTGGAGAAATATAATCAGCTGACAAATTTAGATTTCTACTGGTATTGTTTATCTGCAGGCATAGGTCTCCTCAGGCTTGATACTGGGCCTGAGAGTAATTTACCTCCTGCAGAGTTTAACATGGTTATACCCTGATATTTAGTAGGGCTACCGATGAATCGATGGCAATAGTCTGTCCCTACAAGGAGACCGAAGTCAGTGAGGTGATCAGACTTAATATTATCTGCCAATTTTATTCCTCTATTTCTCAGGAATTTGGCTGTTGCTCTCAGACCTTGAACTTGTAGGTCTACTGGTATTTTGTCCACCACAATGGCTTGTACTCGACAGACGTACCTGCCTAAACGTACTGATGGTTGTACCACCTGGTAGACTTGAGGTCCTGCATCTGTTACAAACCCTGAGATGTTGAATGACATCTGGGCTACAGGCCTTAATTGTAATTCATCTGCCAACTTTTTAGTGATATATGTTCTCTGGGATCCTTGGTCAAACAACCCACGGGTATGGACCTTGGCCCTCTTATTCAGGATGGTAATTTGGGCAGTAGGCAAAGTCGTATTACCTTTAGACTTTGCCGATTGGACACTCTTTGTTTGTTGCACCTTGCAGTACTGTACTGTGGTGGGAATGCTATCTTCCACCTTGGGGTTTGGAGACGTTGTTTTGGTGTCTCTGCACAATGCTGCATGGTGCTGACCTTTGTTACACCTATTACAGGTGTGTAATTGGGTATCACAATCCTTGATGTTATGTTTCCTGAGGCACCTCGTGCAATGTTGCAAATCTTTGAGTCGCTCAACACGGGCGTCACTATCAGGAAAATTAGAGCAG